GGTTTGGGCTAATTGAGGTTAATTAATCCTGATTTTCCGCCCACCCAGCACCACAGACACAGCAGCAGCAACCACATCGTGCACTGATGGTTTGGGGTGAACTTTCTGTGAACTGGGAGAAGGGCCCGACGTGGAAATCCCGTGGTTTAAGAAAATTCCACATCTGAATGGAAGCCACTAGTGAAGAACAGGACCAGGGGAGCCTGGCAGATGTCACAAGGAGGCCTCACCCAGCCATGGGCAGGAACAGGGATGAAATTTGATGTTTAATGCCATTTTTGCACACAAATTACAGCCAAATTTCACCTTTACACCAGGCTCTCATTTCCATCGGAGCTCCCAGAAATGAAATTTGATGTTTAATGCCATTTTTGCACACAAATCAACACCAAAATCCACCTCCAGACCAGGCTCTTGTACCTAGACCTTGATTTGTAGGCCACAGCCAAGAGTGAGAGCAAAAATCTGAATTATTTAAGAGTTATCAGGGGCTGAAGTGTTCTGAGGAATTCAGGAGAAGGAATTAGCCCAGGAGAAGGAGCTCTTGTGGTTTGTTTTGAGAGGTTTCACAGAGGTCAAACCAACCCCTTCTTTTCCGTGGTGCCTTTTTGTGCTACCTAAAAACAGAGGCAGAATGCAAGAATGAAAATGAGGCAAAACAGACAAAACTCTGAAGAGAATAAAAATCAGTTCTGTTTATTGAAGGGCCTTCAGGTACATTTAGGGCAGATAAAACCTTCTAAAAAATGGACAGCAAGTCATAGTTTTTTATATTTTTATAAGTTTGGTCTATTTGCATATTGGGGGTGAATTTCCCAATTACAGCTTCAGGTAATGAAGGAATTTACCCCAAATTTGCTCCCCCCAGACTCATTTTTGTTTAACTTTTTTTGGGGCCCGAGGCAGTGAGGTGTCCTTGATTGCCAGGCCTGGAGAGGAATTGTGTCTGCCCAAAATGGGAAAGACAGTAAGTATACTGTACATAGAATTTAGATATATTAAAAATATAAAATATATAAATATATAAAAAGATAAAAATATATATTTATTATATTATTGTAAAATATAGATTATTATAAAATATATAAATAAATATAGAAATATTAAAAGAACAGCCTGGCTGCCATTGTGTGCCTTGAAAGCTGCCTGGCTTTTGCCATTCAGAACAGATCTCAGACTTGCACGAGGGGAATTTTTCTCTCCAGGGATTTTTCTCTCCCCTTCCCTGCTTTCCCAACGAGCTGGATGCTTGTTTGTGCTGGTTTGAGGTTCTTGCTCATCCAGCTATTGCAGTTCAGTGTTTTAGGAGGAGTTTTAAATACAGATTACAGGCATTGAGAACATCTGCAGCCTTTGTGCTTTACCATTTTCTTGGTTTATTTTTGTCCCTGGCGCTGTTATTTCCTCTCAGCTGTTCCTGACACAGCTTTCCAGGCTCAACTGGATGGTTTGGGCTTGCCTGGAACTCCTGTGCTGGCAGGATTTGGGTTGGAAGAGACTTTAAAAATCATTCAATTCCCACCCCCTGCCATGGGCAGGGATCCCAGGGTGCTCCAGCCTGGCCCTGGCCACTTCCAGGGATCCAGGGGCAGCTGCTCTGGGAATTCCATGCCAAGGAAGCCATTCCCTGTGTCCTGTCATCTGTCCCTTGTCCCCAGTCCCTCTGCAGCTCTCCTGGAGCCCCTTTAGGTTCTGGAAGAGGTTCTGAGGTCTCCGTGGGGCCTTCTCCTCTCCAGGTTTTTAACATTCCCAGCTCTCCCAGCCTGGGAGCATCTCTTGTGGCCCCTGTTCTCTTAGCTGAAATCAATAGAACAACATTATTATTATTATTAATTTCTTTCATCCAGCTGAGCCACAGGCAGCACAGCCACAGGCAGCACAG